GCCCCTTGTGCCGCTTCCGGCGCAGCGGGGGTGGCTGTCTCTTATACACATCTAGATGTGTATAAGAGACAGCTTATACCCTTGTCGATTAGAGCGATTGTCTATGACCCCTGTTTCGATGGGCAGGTGGGTGAGTTGATGTCTTGCTGTGATAAGCTACTTGAGTCTGTGCCGGGCATGTTTGAAGCATCGCTGAAGAGGGCTCGCACGGGTGGAAACCTTAAGTTTGGTTTGGAGTGTGACATCCCGAAGGCAAAGCGGCCGTGCGCTCGAACGAGTAAGAATGCACTTCCTGATGGCGGGAAGCGAAATGCTCAACGACGAAGATGCAAAGAAGAAAAAATGCCTGCCGCTCTGGCGGTTGAGCATCGTCCACCGCACTCGTTCGCAGACTCTGTTTTTAACTCAGTGCGGTCATCGACGGGAGTCGGCGAGGAGAAGGTCTTGTCTGCAAGCGGGGGCGAGGCGACCGCTGTGGGATTGTCAAATTTGACCGTGGGGGCTGGTTTGGTTGGGGCCGATGGTTGTGTCAAAGGAAGGGAGGAGGGCGTTATCGTTGGTGGCAGTGGGAAGGAGGAACGTGCGGCTGGAGCAACTGATTCGATGGTGATCGTCCTCGACGACGAGGACGACGAACGCAAACCAGGCGCCGACACTGGGAGTCGAAAGGGAGGTTCGGATGCGGAGGAAGCTTCTTTGTCGCAGTTGAAAGGCTTCCCTCAGGGGCAGAACGTTGGCCTGAGCACTTCACCGGAATGTGAAGAGCCCGCGAGGGCAGTGGAGACAAGCGCACGCGGACGTGGGAGAGCGAGGAAGGCAAGTGATAGGAAAGAGCGCGCCGAGTCGTCAAGAAGAGGTCATTCGCAACGAAGACAGCCGCGTGGCGAGGCTCTGGCTGCGGCTGCTGACGAGGAAGAAGATGACAGGTCCGAGGGAAGACAGACGAAGTCTTCCTGCAGAGGGAAGCCTGCCCTAGTCATCCAGGAAGCTCAAGCCCAGCGAACGAGATCCTGCAGAGGGAAAGCTTCTTCTCCTCCGGAACCCGGAGTGGAAAGTACACAGGACCGGCGCAACCAGCAAGAGGAGAGCTCTCAAGCACGGCGCACACGCTCGTCTTGCAGAGAGAGGATTTCTCCTTTTAACCCGGGGGAGGAAAATGCGCAAGCCCGGCGCACAAGGTCTTCTTCAAGGGGAGGAAAGCCTGTCCAGGAAGAGGCAAGCTCTCAAGCCCAACGGACGCGATCTTCCTGCAGAGGGAAAGCTTCTTCTCCTCCAGAACCAGGCGAGGAGAACACTCAGGACCGGCGCAACCAGCAAGAGGCGAGTTCTCAAGCACGGCGCACACGCTCCTCTTGCAGAGAGAGGACTTCTCCTTCAGACCCGGGGGCGGAAAATGCTCAAGCCCGGCGCACAAGGTCTGCTTCCAGAGGAAAGCCGTCTCCAGCTGATGCGGACGATGAAAGCACTCAAGGACAACGGACGAGGTCGTCCTCTAGAGGAAAGCCTTCCGGGGAGCGACACGCGGAGGCAGGGGAGCTGCCTGAGGAGGAGGGGGATCGCAGGACTGCTCCTCGCGTGCCATTGAGCGTCTTGCCTGTGAATTTGCCGCGAAAACCAGGCGGGAGAGGAGCGCTGGGGAGGGCTAAGAGAGGCAAGAAGAGCGACGAATGCACGACAGAAGAGGAAGCTGCGGATGGCGGAAGTGCGAATTCAAACGCGCCCAAGGGTCGGAAGACAACGTCGGGATCGTCTCCAGCTGCGACCGGTTCGGCTGGCGAGAGAGTTCCTGACAAGGACGTGGCTCCGCAAGTTCAGCACGACGCTGCACGTGGCGACGACGTCCCCACGATGTCATCCTCTCTGGGAGCTAAGACGATGTCGAATAAGGCCTCTGAAGCTGAGGAACATCCCGAAGCTAACTTACATCCCATCCTTAAGGAGCATCCCACTCCTAAAGACCGTCCCAGTCCTAAAGACTATCCCGAGCCTAAAGTTAATCCCGAACCTCAAGTGGTGAATCACGAACCTAAAGATCATCCGCAACCTAACTATCTACCTGATATTCTTGAGGAGCTACCCGACCTTAAGGAGCAACCTGATCTTGAGGAGCAACCCCAACCTGATCTTGAGGAGCAACCCCAACATGATCTTGAGGAGCAATCCCAACCTGATCTTGAGGAGCAACCCCAACCCGATCTTGAGGAGCAACCTACTCGTGGTGAGAAAGACGAGCTTGATGAGAAATCCAATCTAGAGGAGCAACCGGATCTTGAGGAGAAGCTGGGAGTTGACGAGAAACACGAGGTTGAGGAGAAACCGAACCGAGAGGAGATTGCCCAACCTGAGGAGAAAGCCGATCCTGACAAGGAAGCCGAACCTGAGGTGATAATACCAGCTGCACGTGAGGAGCACGCAGGACTTCAGAAGAAGGCAGAACCTAATGACCAACGCGAACCTAAGGAAGATTCCGGACCAGGTACCGAACATGCAGAGTATCTCGAAGTAAAGGAGCTGCTGCTTCCTGAAGCTAAGGAGCCGTTTGAAGGTGAAGAGCGAGCCGCGGAAATTGCCCTGCTGGCTGAAGTGAAGGGGAATGAGATAGGCAGTGCTGGCGGCTCAAGCGCTGAGAAAGCGAGCAAGCAATCGTGCAGCTCATCGGACTGTCCCGCTCAGGTCGATGTCATTGTCGGACATTCGCCGCCTTGCAGCCGAGTCGGTGGTCCTGGGAAGAAGACGGGTGGGGGGAGAGGAAGTAGGCGACGGGCAGGGAAGTCGGTAAAGATGGCGGCCTCGTGTCGCGGCCGAGCTTCAGCAAATGTGACGTCAGCTTCAGGGATGTGTGGAGGAAAAGTGGACGGGGAAGCCGAGGACAAGAGCGAACAAGATGTGCACTTGTCACACGACGGCAGTAGCGGCGTGGTAGTTGTGGCTGGGGCTGAGGACCGGGAGAGACCTGTGGGCGATACTGAAGGACCGGTAGGTGATACTGAAGGACCGGTAGGCGATGCCGACGGACCGGTATGTGATATTGAAGCTGACGATAGCAGTGCTGTCGGCGCCAAGATGGCAGGATACAAGGCGTGCATTTTCCAGGTGCAGAGACGATCAGATGAGGATGGACGCGTGGTGCCGAAAGAGAGTTCCATGATCTTTCAGCTGATGCAGCAATTGCCGGCTTGTCAGATAGGTTCTGCTGCCTTCGAAAGAGATTCTGAGCCTGGCGTTGGGAACGCTTATACACACTTGCAGCTGACGCAGCAGCAATCGACAACAACTTGGGAGAGGCGTTCTGATAGCCCCGAGAGAGTTTGTGAACGTGTCAGAGACGTCCGAAGCGCTGACGTTCTGCTGCCAAAGGGTTCACAAGATGATGCTGCCGGTTCCTCGATTGAGGAAAAGCAGCCGAAGGGTGGTAACGAAGACTTGGTGAGAGCCGACGCTGAGGGCAAGCGACGGTGCTCATCGCCAGACCTCGTCGGTCAGGTCGATGGCATCGTTAAGCAGTCTCCGGTCTGCAGCGCGGAGGCGGATGGCGATGGGAAGGAGAGTAGTGGGGGGAATGGACGTGGAGGGCGACGACGGGCGACGGCCGGGCAAACGACGGGCTTGTGTCGCGTTCGATCAGCTGCAGAGATTTGCGGGGGGAGAAGGGATGATGGTCGGCAATCAGATAGGAGCAAGGAATACGCTGCTGCTGTGGAATCGTCTAATGACCGCTGTGGGCAGGAGGCACTTTTGCCGGAGGGCAGTGAGAGAGAGGCAGGTGGTAGCGCAGCGGCTGATAACGATATGGCGGCGGTAGTCAGCCAGCTGGCAGCAAACGCGAGCAAGCGTACTGCTTTCCAGGCAGAGAAGCGATCGGTTGAGGAGGACACGTGTCTGCTGGTGAAAGACTGCACCCCTGTCTCCCAGCTGATGCAGCAAGTGGCCATGCACGCCGCTGCCTTGGAATGTGACGAGGTGACGGGTCACCTTTGCTGCGGGAGCGTTAGCGAAGGACGTGTAGAAAATAGCGATATCCGTCCCGATGTGGTGGTGTCAGTGACGAAGGAAGAGCTGTCGGATGGAGAACGGAGGGGGAGAAGGTTAGGTGAGGCAACTGCTAGCAAAGAGCAAGAGGAGGAGAGGGGAATTGAGGAGAAGTCCGAACATTATTATATCGTGGTTGAAGTTCCAACGGATCGTATGGATGACAATGACCGTGGGCAATTTGACAACGCAGCCGCTGTGCAGACAGCAGTGCAAGCCGTCCAGCCAGGGCAATTAGACAACTCAGCCGCTAAATGCATTGGCAGTCAGATGCTGATGGCTTATCGTACTGGACGAGGGTCCGAGCCTAGCAGCAGTGCCACTCCGGCGCCGATCATGGAGAGCGTCAAAGAGGGCGTACAGGCTGGGGAAGAAAAGGGAGGAATGGCCGATGGAACAGATCAGGTCACTTTTATGATTGATGATGCTGTGAGTTCCGACGAGTGTATGGCAACGAGTGCTGGGAATGGGAGGCTAAGCGGCCGTCTCTTGGAAGCAAGCAATTCAGTACGTTTGGGAGAAAAGACCGATGGCAGATCTAGTGTTTCCAGTACGATGAAGATTCAGCACAACAGGTGGCATGATTTGGTCGAGGTCAGCGACGCGAAATTGGATGGCGAAGAGAAGGGGGAGGGGAGAAGAAGACGAAGGAGCGGCTGCGAAGGTGAGGAGAACTTGGCGGCGACGCCTGACGTGGTGACTGTAATCATGCCTCCGACGAGAGCGTCGGAACAGATTGCGACGCTGCTTCCCTTGACGACGGCGAGCGGCCGTCCTCTTCGTTCCGCTTCCAACAGAACCGAGCTTGTCGCGTGTATCAGATCTTCTGTCCAGGAGATGGAGGATGCAGAGGGGAAAATGGAAGCAGAGGGGCAAATAGAAGACAAGATTGGCGAAAAGATCAATGTGTTTCTTCCGTTGAGAACAGCTGGGAGGGCAAAGGCACAAGGGGAAGAAAAAATAGCGAGGGAGAGAGTGGCAGAGGGGCAAATAGAAGACAAGAATGGAGAAAAGACCGATGGCCTTCGACTGAAGGCAAAGGAGGCGGCGCAAATTGAAGAAATCGCGGGGGAGAGAGTGGTGATCCTTCCGTCGAGGAGGACGGGGCGTCGGGCCCCTTGCGCCGGATCTGGTGCAACGGGGCCGGTAGGCGAGGAGTTGAAGAAGGTGGAGATGGAGGGGCAAATGGAAAAAGACGAGAAGGGAGAGAAGACACGTGTTCTTCCATTGAGAGCAACGGGGAGGGCAAAGGCACAAGTCGAGAGGGAGAGGGTGGAGACCCTTGAGTCTAGGAGGACGGGACGTCGAGCCCCTTGTGCCGCTTCCGGCGCAGCGGGGGTGGTAGGCGAGGAGTTGAAGAAGGTGGAGATGGAGGGGCAAATGGAAAAAGACGAGAAGGGAGAGAAGACCAGTGTTCTTCCATTGAGAGCAACTGGGAGGGCAAAGGCGCAAATTGAAGAAGTCGAGAGGGAAAGGGTGGAGATCCTTCCTTTGAGGAGGACGGGGCGTCGGCCTCCTTGTGCCACCACAGCTGCCGCAGCGGGGGAGGTCGGCGAGGGGTTGAAGGCAGAGATCCAACGACAGGTGGTGGGAGAGACGGTAGAGCCTCTTCCTTTGAGACGGTCTGGGCGAATACGTATGCCAGCGCAGTCGAGCGCGGAAGGAGTTTCATGTGGTAGGCCTGGTGATGAATGTAGTCCGATAACCGTCTCGATGGTGCAAGGGAAGACAGGGCAACCAATCGAGGGCGTAATTAGAGTTCCTACTGGGGCGGGCCAGAAGACACAACAATATGAGGAAGAATTATCGAAGAGTGTGTTTCCTCGGTCTTCTTGGACCGTTGCCGCATGCTCTGCGAGAACTGCGCTCTCCCAGGCGGAGGAGAGTGAGAGAGGAGGAGGTGCTGATGGGAAATTGGAGGTTGGTGGGGGTGAAGATAATGGGCAGGAACAAGAAAACGATGGAGGAGTAAAGAATGACAAATTGGAGGCAGGTGGTGAAACGAAGGAGCATGAAGAAGAAGAAGAAGAAGAAATAGAAAAGGACGGAAAGAAGACTGAGGCTCTTCCCTTGAGAAGAACCGGGAGGGCGAAGAAGAGGCAAACTGAAGAAACTGTGGGGTTGGTGGAAAGATTGGAGGTGCTTGTTCCATTGACCACCAAGACGGGGCGGCGTCTTCCTTCTGCAACAACCGGCCCGGCTGGGGAGGTAAGCCGGGAGCCGCCGAAGGCAGAGACGGAGCGCGAGACGGCAGAGAAACCCGAGCCCCTTCCCTTGAGGAGGTCGGGTCGGATACGCATGTCCAATGCGCAGACGAAGGCGGAGCCAACAGCTTCGAAGGGTCAGCAGGATGCTGGACATGATAGTAGCCCGAATGTGACATTGGCAGAGGCGAAGGTGGCCACACAACCAGAACGCATGACAAGCACGAGTCTGAATGCTCACACGCCGCCGTGCGGGCCGAGGATGTCGAAGGCTGTGCTCCTTCCTTCGACGATGATTGGCCATTGTCCAGGAAGAAGTGTGTGTTCCGACGAAGGTGGTAGCAGAGTAGGTGCTGCTGCTAATGGGACGCACGTGGAGGGTGGCGATGTAGGCGCGTCGTCGTCCCCGCCTGATGGGGAGAGGAGGAAGGCACTCGGTGGTCAACCGGGTGCTACCGACGACGATGAGAATCGCGCCGCAGGATGTGGTGGTAATAGCGGAGGCCGAGAAGAACGGTCACGGGGAAGATGGAAGAGCGATTGCGGTGCAGGAGGGGAGAGTAACGTCCTCCCTCCTCTTCCCAGGTCGAGAACCGGGCAACTTCGCGGCGGGAAAGTCGGTAGTACATCCCGTAATCCTTGCCCGGGCTTGGTTGGCAACGTGGGAACGCAGTATAGCGCAGTGGAGAAAGACGAGGAGCTGAAGGCAATCAAGCTGCTGCGGCCGTTAGAGGAGGAAGACGAGACAGGAGGCAGGCGTCGTAGGGAAGCCGCCCCCGCCGGCTGTGAATCAACCGCTGCAGCTGAGGACTCGAGGAAAGCCGGCAGCTCTCCGGACGGAAGAGCGGCGGAAGGAGTTGTTCTTCAGGCGCGGAGTGGCTGGCGCGAAGTGGGAAGGGCTAGCTCCTGCAGCAATGCTGTCATCATCACCGCCGGGGCCTTGGTTGCTGAAGAAGCGGGCGTTGGTGCTAGGATGCCGGCCTCGGCAGCCCAGGAGACGAACGAGTCCGAGTATGTATTACTGTCGAGGGATCCATCGCTGAAGACGGAGAGGGAGAAAGCGGGTCCTCTACGGAGAGTGAAAGAGAGTGTAGTGGAGTGGGAAGGTGAAGTCGAGAAGGAAAGGCGAGCGGTACCTGTCGCCGCAGAGAGATTTGGCGACGACGATGACTTGATGGGTGATCAAGTCTCGTTTGCTTCTTTTGTGGCTCCTGGGTGCCGTTTGAAGAAGAAACCGAACGGGGAGAAACGGTGCAGTCCACGCGCGGGGAATGGGAATGGGGCACAGTGCATTGCGTGCTGGTGTCCGCCTCTGGTAATCGTTGGGGAGGAGGGGTCCGTAGCTGGCAGCGTGGATTTGTCCGTCGCCGTGGAATCATCGATCGACTACATGGAAGTCTGTTCGCCGTCGTTCAGTTCTCCAAGAGGGGATCGCTTGGGCGGCGGTGTGTTAGAACGCAGGGAACTCACAGAGGAGTGCGAGTTGAGGGGTGGTAATGTGGGAAGGAGAGGTGAAGAGTGCGCCTCGACAGCACGGAAAGCCACCCGGCAGCCCCGTGAGGGATCGCCACGCAGGTTGCTGGAAGAAGAAGAAGAAGAAGAAGATAAGGCGAGCGGCAGTCGAACGGGGCGAAATGTAAACGACAACCCATCGACGAACGGCGATCGCTGGAAGGAGATGAGGCCTTGCAACGCAGAGGTAGAGAGAGGAGGTGAGCGTGGTGAGGAACCCTCCTGCGAAGCTCTGCTGGTCGGGGACTTGGAAAAGAAGCGTGCGCGGAGGTCGTCAGCTCGATGGAAAAAGGTCAGTGGAGGAAGCTTGAAGAAGAAGATCGTGGCGGAGGAGGCAACGAAGAAGACAATGGATGCGGAGCTGGCTTGCGATGCCGACGACGAGCGAACTACAGGAAGAAGGAGAGCATCGGGTGACCCTGTATTGCGCTTGGATGTGGCAGCTGGAGCAGCAGAGAACGCGGGCAACAACGACAGTGTAGGAGAGGCGGGGAGTTGCCGGTCTAAGAGTTGCCGGTCAACATCGCGAAAGGCTCGAGCGCTTTCTACGCGCGCGAAGCATCCCTCCTCACTTCCGGTCCAGGCGTCTGACGACGCAGAGGCAAACGAAGAAGGCGCGGAGGAGCCCAAGGTGCTGCCTGCAGGTGCTCGGCAGAGCGATGCTCAGGAGGACGGGAGCAGGAGAGAATCTCCTCCCCTCAACGATGTGGAGAGAGAAGGATCGGAGGAACAGAGGAGACGTGCGCAGCAGCAGAGTTCTGAACGTCGAGGAAAACCCGTTGCAGAGGTGCTGCGTACAGGTGCACGACAGAGTGATGCCCAGGACGACGGGATCACGGAAGAATCTCCCTTGCTCAACGATGTCCAGAGAAGAGAACGGGTGGAGGGACGAAGACCTGCGCAGCGGAGTTCTGAAGCGCGAGGAAAACCCGTCGTAGAGACCCCAATAGCAAGCGTCGGAGGAGGAAAAGCGTTGGCGGCAACCGATGTTGACGTGGCTTGCGATCTAGAGAATGAGCGGGTTGGTGGAGGGAGGGCTGCAGATGGCGATCCAAGAAGTTCATTCGAGGAGGAAGTGGCCGCTGGCGGAGAGCACGATGGCAAGGATAGCGTAGTAGAAGTGGCAGAGTGGAGGGGGAGGAGCAGTCGGTCAGCTTCGCGGAGGAAAGGCCGGTCACTTTCTTCGCGTGCAAAGCATCAATCTCTCCGGGTCGAGCCGTCTGATAATGATGCAGCGGAGGCAAACGTAGGCGCTACGGACCCGAAGTTGTCACGGTCAGGTATGCGGCAGAGTAATGCCGGCGAGGACCAGATCGAAGAAGTGTCTCACGTGATCGAAGGGTTGGAGGGCAAACAGCGATGGGAGGAACAGAGATGCAACAGGAGGAGCAGCTCGGCGGCAGCGGGGAAGGAAAAAGCCAATGACGGTAGCCCGATGAAAACGGTCGTCGTAGAGGAGCTGTTGACCGCGACGACGGTTGGCGAGCTGGCTAGCAGTGATCGGGAGGAGGGGGGACCAGCTCGTGTAAAGGGAGCTCCGCATAATGGGGTTTTCGTGGTGGATTTGACAGGTGGAGTAGAGAAAGACGGAGAAGACAGTCCAAGGGAGGTGGGGACGACGGCGAGAAGCAGCCGGTCTGCATCATCGCGGAAGGGTCGTTCGCATTCTTCGCGCGGGAAGCTTTCCTCGTCGCAAGACGAGCCGCCGCTCCATGCAGAGCCAATCATGGCCTCTGGAGATGCAGAAAATGTGCCACCTGCAGGTGTGCGACGAAGTGAGGCTGACCTGGACAGCAACCGGATGGATGAGCTGTCCCCCGTCACTGATTCTCATCAGGTGTGCGACGAAAGGAAACCGTCACAACGCTGCTTGCTCGCAGAACCGGCTGCAGGCGAAGCGGCTGCAGGAAACGTGCACAGGACGGGACATGAAGGCTATAGCACAGATGAGATGATGGAGGGCGGTGGTGAGTCTAACGACGGGGATGATGCGTGTACAGCGGAGGACTACGGCCAGACCGATCGACCGCGGTTATGTGCTTCTGCTGAGAACGAAGACGAAATCGTTGTGGTAGACGAAGGCGAGGACGGCATGTCTGGTAGCGAGGGAAAGTCAACAAGCAAGAGAATGGATGCGAAAGGAGAGGGGAAGAAGAAGGCCGGCGATGACGGGTGCACCCTTCTTCCTCTTCCGTCTTTGTCGGTATTGAATCATACACCATCCAATCTTTGCACATCTGTAGCTTCTTTCCTCAACCGCCCGAAGGCGGTTCAAGCCCTGCAAGCAACTTGCATCCCTGTTGTCACGGCGGCGACCGAGAAGACCGGATCATCTTACTGTGCTCCTGGAGGTGGTAGCGCAAAGGATGTGCTGACCACCTCCTTGGCGGAGCAAAGGGAAAGCGATAATGTAAACATTTGTGCATCTGTGTACTCGTTCCTGCCTGTGGTAGCCAAACCTCCACCACCCGTACCCGGAGTTCCTTGTGGAAAGCGGAATGTCAAGGTGAAAGCACTGGAAGCAGCCGAAGAGGCAAGACGGGAGGAGGAGAAGAAGGCCGAGGAGAGGAGGGTGAGGAAGGAAATGGTTGCCAACGCAACTGCTCAGAAATGTGTAAGAGGTGATGATGCAAATGTAGATCGATCAGGAAAGCGAGGTAAGGCAAACAAGAAGGGAAAGATGGGTGCTGCGCCTTCCGTGCCGCGCGAAGAGGACGAAGAGGTTAAGGTGGTCGAATCGAGGCTGAAACGGGTGCAGGAGGTCTGCACTAAGGTAAAGCTAGAGTCGGAGAAGAAAGCGGCGGAAGATAGGAGGAGGCTGGAGGAAGACCGGGCCAGGAAGGAGATGGAAATTGCGCTCAAGAAGAAGGCAAAGGAAGAAGCAGACAAGAGGGAGAGAGAGGAGAAGCGAAGACGGCAGGAGGAGGCCAAGAACGTCCGCAAGGAAGCCGAAGAGCGCCAACGTATGGAGTATGAAGAGAAGGAGAGAAAGAGAAAGGCCCAGGTAATCTCTCTCTCCTCCTTCACTCACTGTGTCATTCATTCATTGTCAAACCTATCCCTAATAAGAACGACGCGGAATGGATTTCCTGACTGAGGACAGGCTTGTTTTTGGCTATCATACGACTCGCTAACCTCACATGGCTTTTGGTTATGTGGCTGTCCTCTGGGAAAGCTTGATTATAGAGCTAAATTCGAAGATAAGATCGGCTTGATTAGAGCTGAATGCGAAGAAGATCGTCTTGACGGCCTAGTTGCACCACTCGCCATCCGCCAACATCTTGAATGCATCCGCCAACATTTTGAATGCATCTGGAGTGAATGTTGTCCACATGCATTCAAAATCTTGGTGGATGGCGAGTGGTGCAACTAGGCCCTGAATCCGGATAAACGGGGAGTATTGAGTCCAAACGGTTTGATGTATCCATTCGACGGATGCGCTGTGCACAACTGGAATTGCTGATCCGAAGGTCAGGTGTTCCAAACCAAAGATGTCCGAAGGCAACCGCCCGCTTCCCAAAGAGAAGCCAAGAGGATGAGGAACAACATAGGAGGAGGAGGAGGAGGAGACGAAGAAGAAGAAGAAGAAGAAGAAGAAGAAGAAGAAGAAGAAGAAGAAGAAGAAGAACGGTGCTGGAATTTGCTCCTGATGTATAGAAGGCAACCGCCCGCTTTCCAAAGAGAAAACAAGAGGACGAGGAACAACAGAGGAGGAGAAGAGGAAGGAGAAGAAGGAGAAGAAGGAGAAGAAGAAGAGCAAGGGTGCTGGAATTTGCTCCTGATGTATTGAAGTTATTGGGTGCTGAATTGAAGAATGACGGAGTTGAATCCACAAGGATGCTATTTGTTTGCAGTTGCTATGAGGACAATGGGGATGAACCAAGCAAGGTCAAGCCTACGTTGCAGAGACAATTGGGCTTCGCTCCAGCACTCACGACATGCACAAAACACAAATTAAGGCGGTGTATCTTCCATGTTTTAGAGGAAGAGTCGTTCTCATTTCCACGTTTGGTAGACCAGAACTCTCATTTCCACATTTGGTGAATGGTGGAGCGAGGCCCTTGGACCAGAACTGGAAAAAAAAAAACAGGACCAAGAAGAACTGCGGCGATAATAGTCCCATGAAACAAGAATGAGAACGACTCCTAACTACCTGGGCCTGGTCACTTGTGGATATATCTCAAGACTGCTGCCCGTCTGTAAAAAAAAGCAAAAGAAATCCACTCCCGTTGAAAATGTGTTCCCCTTAAGCAGATGGTGTCGTTGTATTAGATGCAGAACAGTTGTGGTATTCGTACACTGCAGGTTGCTGAGGGATGTGATTTGCTTCTTGATATAGGAGGAGGCAGAGAGGGAAAGGAAGGCTGCAGCGGAGGAGGCAAAGAGACAACGCAGGATGGAGAAGGCCATGGAAGTTGAGAGACGCAAGAAAGAGAAGGAAGAAGAAACCGCTGCAAAGTGGGAAGCCGATAGACGAGAGGCTGAGCGAAAAGAAGCTGAAAGAAGGCGTGCGACAGAATCTCACATGAAAAGAAAGGAACTGGAGTCGGAAAGATCCTATGACAGGATTCATAAGGTATGCTTCAGGGTCTCACAACTGCTGACTGACTCCTTGCGTGTTTTGTTGGCTGCATGTTCTGTCCTTGCAGCCATTCTTAGGCTGCATGAGGTGTACTCTATTCCTCCCCCCCCCCTCTATCCCTCTCCCCCCCCCCCCCACCCCCCACCCCCCCCGCAAGTTCTTTCATATGCTTGATTATTGTGTCACATGCTCTCTCTCTACGAGATTGCAAATGTCGGAAAGGCCACAATGCCTGCTTTAGAATGGGTGCGCTGGACAAAATGCCTGCTATAGGATTAATCTGTTATGCTTGGAAGGCTGGATGCTAATTCTGTTTTCTGTTGCGTTGGCGTGGATTATGGGTAGGCTGGTCGTAAGGTCGTAAACTCTTACGGTCTCCAGATCCTAAAGTCTTCAAACCCTGTCTCTTTATGCCAGTACAACATGCGGTAGGTTTGTGGTCAGGTCCTACACCCTAAACTCTCACGTAACCCCTGTCTCTAACAAGAGCATGTAGCATGGGTAGGTTCCAAGGCCCCTAAACCCATACTGCAAACCGCCAGTGCGCGACCCCAGCCTTGTAGAAAATTGCCGATTGCCAGCTCCAAATTTTTTGCGGTGCGGGGCTACCTGACCACAATGGCTGGCTGCGCCAGCCAAATAAGGGAAAAGGTGGGCGGTTGGCAGTTGGGAAAAGCTCGGCGCACAGTGCAGCGCCTCCAGGCCCGGATGTACTGGTGGCTTAAACTTTAAACCCTGTCCGTGTATGGTAAGTACATCATGCAGTATGGGTAGGCTGTAAGGTCCTAAACACTTTACTTCGAAACCTGTGTTGCTTTTTTTTTTTTTTTTTTTTCTATGCTGATTTCTAAACGGCTTCTGAAATCTTCTGATGTGTCGACTTCTTACATACATGCTTGCTTGCCTTTCGTTTGTGCTGCGATTTTGCCAGGCACCAAGAGTTGCAGAACAGCGCAGCGCCTGCATGGGTCTATTAGTGGCAGTGGGGAGTTCTGGAGGCAGTGGTGCTGGTGTACGACGAGGAACAGCAAGCGATGCTTCGCTAGGGCAACCACTTTCCCCTGGCATGTCAAAGGTCAGGAGCAGACCCGGTGGCAGTTCTACTGCCTTGCACACAGCTTGTAATTATTTTGGGCCGTCTGGTACCCTCACTCAAGCGTTGGCCTCGTTGAATTCAGCTGCGAATGTGTCAACATCTGTTGCATCGCCCAGCCTTGGTCGGCTGAAAAAAGTGAAAGCTGACAACAGCAAACTGACAGGCACCGGTGCAAAGCAAGTTGCTTTTGCCGTCGTCACTGTGAATTCTGCCGGTGTTTCATCCCCACTTCGGTGCAGACCTTCGCAGTCAGCAGCATCAACGCCACCTCCCCCACGTGTTCTGGCTCCTCTGAACGTCAATGTCCCCAAGAACTCAAATCCTGGTGCTGGGGACATGAAAGACGTCAAGGAGGTTATGACCCGTTCGTACGCTGGGTCTGCAGTGGCACCGTCTTCAGAGCAGCCGGCTCGAGCAGAGGCAGCAGAGGCAGCACGGGTGGACGTGAGCACAGGGGATGTTTCTGCTGCGAGTTGGGGAGGGGGGATTGTGAAGTCTGCTAACCATGCAGAGGCACATTTCAGTGCTGTTCAAAAGAGTGCTGGGTCCCAGGCGGCAGCTGTCACTGGTTTGGCAATCGGAAAAGGGCTAAGCGATGCAAGGCCAGGCGCTCCTGAGACGAGGATGCCGGTCAGAGCAAGTGAGGAGGCGGTGCAGTCTTACGAGATCTCTCCTTATCGGGCCAGTGACAGCGATTCAGAGGAAGACCAACCTTCCTCAAAGTGCATCCCACTGTGGGCCAGGTATGTTTGCACTCACTCAAGACACGGATCTATTTTGACCAAATCGTGCATCTTTCTCGCACCTTCTCGTCCATTTCTCTGTCGTTCTGTCTACCTATATATTGCCTTTATCCGTCCTTAGTATGGTCCATTTCGTGTGTACCCATTGGTGGTAGGTGTTTGTTGCTTTATCCCACCATTGGCCTGGTACCTGTGCAGTGCACGCTTGTTCACCGGTCCAAGGTACTCTTGCTGCATTCGCCTGAGCGTGGAACAAGTTGGGAAATGCTGGGCAGCATCAGAAGCACGCAGGGCCCTCAAAAAGTTTTTGCCTCTTTTAAGATGTGTCATGTCGTGATATGTCTGCTCTAGTTTACTGAGAGCTGTTGACGAGTTCAACCCATGCACATGCTGAATAGTAAGCATACAAAATAGTGGCTGTCAGAGTTTGCGGAATGCTTCATCATGCTTTCTCTGTAAATGGACGCTCAGCATTCTTTACTTTCTCTGAATTCTGGCCCTGTAGATGGATGTTCGGCATTTTGTATTGTCTTTCCATCCTACTTCGATTCTATAATGTCAGGAGGCTGTACCGTTCTGGCTCAGTTCCGTTCTCTCAGGAGACCATACTCATGCCTGTGCGTGTTCGTTGTGTTGCTTTGCCTCCAGGCGAGAGAATTTGAGTCAATCTCTCCACGCCCAGGTGTCAGTTGATCCTGATCATATCTTTCCTGCAGTGGAGACTTGCAGCCTTGAGGACGGTGAGTTTATGAACTGTGGCATTATCCACCGAATTTAACAAGTGTGTGCATACCTCCTGTGCCGTTTCTCGAGTGCACAATAATATGGTCATTTCCCCTCTCTTCTCCCTTTGTTCCCCCTTGCTCCCTATCTCTCTCTCCTCCTCTCCCTCTCTTCCTCTGCCTGTCTGTCCCTCTCCCTCTTTCTCTCTCTCCCTCTCTCCCTCTCTCCCTCTCGCCCTCTTGCCTTCTCTCCCTCTCTCCTTCTCTCCCTCTCTCCCTCTCTCCCTCTCTCCCTCCCTCCCTCCCTCCCTCCCTCTGTCCCTCTGTCCCTCTGTCCCTCTGTCCCTCTCCCTTTCTCTCCTTTTCTCAACTTCCTCTGTTTCTCTCCCATTCTCTCTTTTTTCCTCTCACCCGTCCCATATATCTCTTTTCTTCTCTCTCTCTCTCTCTCTCTCTCTCTCTCTCTCTCTCTCTCTCTCTCTCTCTCTCTCTCTCTCTCTCTCTCTCTCNNNGAGAGAGAGAGAGAGAGAGAGAGAGAGAGAGAGAGCTGTCTCTTATACACATCTAGATGTGTACTCTCTCTCTCTCTCTCTCTCTCTCTCTCTCTCTCTCTTCCTGTTCATCATCACAATGTGTTCAAGCTAATATTTTCACAATTCAAGCATCTGTGAGTATTTCCATACATTGAAAGAACAGGCTCCGAAACCATTGAGTTGCCTATGATTGCTTGGTCTTGATTTGTTGACGGCAGCAGAATGTGCCAATGTGACAACACGTGATTATGATGGCGTTATGTAGATCTAAGGTATATGAACGCACTACTGTGTATAGATGGTGGAATTTTGCAGGACATTGTGATGATGATGATGATTGTGCACGTGGAATTCAGAAAGAATCATGGGCACTTCTTGGCCTCTTTGAAATTGACAATGTTCAGGTGTCTGTATTTCTATGGAGCTTGTACATTGGGTAGATGCTGGCATCACTAATGATCTCTTCCTGTGGAGATACCGGTATATGTATTAAATTTGTGGTGTGTAGGGAGTAAGCCTTCCGGTGGTACTGTTTTACGTGGTGTTTTGTCTGCAGTATTCAAAGATGATGGAAAGAAGCACCGCAAATACAACAAACGGAAGAGCAGCGGCAATTGGCTCCACGATCGCCTGACAACAAGTGAAGTGATAAGCTACAAGAAGGGCATGGGTTACCTCTAAGTGAGAGAGGTTTGGTTCGGCGCAGCTGACTGTTCTCTCTTCTTCATGCTTGGTACGCATCCATTTTAGGTTTGTTCTTTGGCATGCATCCAAATTGGACTCCAATGACTCTTGTGACCTTACAACCAACTCTCTATCCTCCACTGTCCAACCTAGGTGACTGTTTTTGTCTTCATGCCTGGTACGAATCCAAATTAGGTGTGGTCTTTGGCTGCCAATTTCAAGGCAGCAAGACGCTCCAGGATGGATGTTCATTCAGCAGGACTCGCAGCTGGAGGGATAGGGAGGTTGCAGGTCTCCCGGTTCACTTTAGAGCGATGGCTGCGAGGTGATCCATGCTTGAAATGGTGGTAGGTAGGTCTTATTGAGCCATCCCTCAACTTATTGAGGTTGTCAAAGTTGGTGGTAGGTCTTCTACTGATAAGTGCTGCAGGTGGGTGGAAAGGGAAAAGCCTGGTGTTACGAAATGAAGGGCGTTGAGGAAGGGGTCGATTGTGTGGAAATTGCGTCGTTGTGGGTCATCTTCGCAACATGGATTTTGAAATGTTGCAATTACAGCCATCCCTCAAAATGGTTTGATGGTCTTCTTCACATACAATGTCGATATGTTGGAAGAGAATAAATGTGGTGGGCCCTTCCAGTTAAGAAAGGGTAGATAAATGATATCACCTCTACAGAATGTTGATATCAAGGCGTGCAAGCATTGGGGTGGTACACGAAAGCCACATATTTGTAATTGCTTGACAGTCACGGATGATTGACCCGCACAGTGTTTCTCTAACACCATGGCAACTGTAACTCGGTCGAATCTGGTCCATGTTGTGCACTATGTGCAGGTATAGTGTTTCTGAAGCTTCATCCATTTCCATCATACATTCTGTACACAGGTCTTTTTCTTTTTTACTCTTTTTCCTTGGCTTTTGTTTGGCAAAGGGATTCTGTTTACAGGGAAGCCAACTAATAGATATTATTTATTCTCCAGGGAAAGGGATGATTGTTCCCATTTCGAGCTGCCATTGGAATGTATTCTTAAGTTTGATGAACTCTAGTGGCTGAAATGTATTCTTACGTTTGATGAACTCCTAGGGCATGTTACGAAATGAATGAACCATATTACGGAACGGTGAGGTTTGAGATACCTAGCTCGGCTGAGATTCTTACGGTGCTCAGAAGATATCCACAAACGGCCGTTATTTCAGCACTCGGCAGTGGTCGCTGCCGGATGATGTCTCGGATTCGGGGATGCACTTCATCTCAATGATGCCTGTTTCTGTGCAAACTGCACACATTCTCAGAGTAGTGAGTCACACTCAGGGCACAAGCGCAGCAAGCAAGCAACAGAGAGAGAGAGAGAGAGAGAGAGAGAGAGAGAGAGAGAGAGAGAGAGAGAGAGAGAGAGAGAGAGAGAGAGAGAGAGAGAGAGATTTCTCTGAACAGATTGAGGGGTGGCAGATTGAATCTTTGCTGTCAATAGTGCTTGTGTCGCAATGATCACTTGGCGGAAGGAGCTGCAAGGAGAGCTGCCGAACTGAAGAGGACACGACGTGGGGGAATTCATCAGCCAGTTTCCACTGTAAGGCACATTGCTAGCGTTTCCAAGCTCAGCCAGTTAATTGTGCCCAATCTGCATGGCTTCAAAATTGTTTTAGGCATCGCTAGTGCACAACTGGTTTCAGCGCGAGGCTTCGTGTGAGGTCCTGCAAGCTGAGCAGCTGAAGCATGGCCTGGGAATTCCACTCTGGAAGGCGTTATAATAGCTGAGATATGGCTTCTCTTACCGATGCCCGATTTATGTCATTTTTAACAGGGGAAGACAAAAGATCAGCTTGGTACACTCCTCGTCTCCGCAGGCGGCCTGAAAAGACTCAGAAAGTCTAGAAGGGAAGTGGTCACCATCACCCATCGGGACTCTGTCAAGGTAGGCATACATATACATATGACTTATTGCCCATCATAGGTGATAAATGGATTTCGGTTCATTGCAGTCAGGTCCTGTCGGTAGCATAAATGACTTGTACTACTACTAAGGGATGACCGTCAAGAATCGAGAGAGTTAGTTAGTGTAGGTCCATTCACTTTGCTGAAGTGCAGATGCCTGCTCAATTTGGATAATCTGAGAAATGGGCCAGGCGTGAGTGATGATGTAATGATCTCATTGCTATCGCAACGCACTGTCAGTGATGAAGAGCCATGGACAACTCCTTTCTTCTCTTTTTTTATCAAACAGGGCCTTATGCTCCTGGCTCCATGTCCATTCTGGGGAGTATAGGTCCGGTTCCTTTTCCACCGGCTAGTCATCAGAGTACATTAAGTAACACACGCTCGCTTCCTTCCGTATGTGGCCGAAGAACCCCTGGGCAGCATTGAATCGCAGAGAACTCCTAAGAAGACTAGAGTGCAGCTCCTCCTCCGCCGCCCATCCACGGTTATTCGTTAACCGAAAATCGGCGGTGGTGAAGTTGTCAGTTCAAAGCGCTTTTTTTTTTAGATATGAGCTTTGTCCGTCGTAGCTAGATCTGTCTTCTGCCTGTCGTGTTAAACCAGCGGTACATGGCCCCAGGCAACTGGAGAGCCTGTTTTGAGCCTCTCTGGAAATTTAGGAGGCCGAGCGTGAAAGGGCCCCGCGGCCGATTGCTGGCATGTACTGGTGGTGGTTTAAGCCACCAGCACATCCGATGTACGAGGCGGATTCCCCCTGCGCACCAAGCTTTAGCACAATGCCAGCTGCCAGCCATTTCGGTCCTGTTGCGCCGAGCCTCCGAATTTTTGGCTTGAGCTGATCGTTGTTCTCAAGTTGCCTCAGGCTATCTACTGGTGCGAGTGCGGTGGTTTAAGGACATCGTTAGATTGTGTACCTGTGATTACAACAGAGCGCTATCAATCCAAAGTCGTGGCGAAGAAGTCAACGGCTCATCGTTCTCTGTCATGGCTAGACCTGACCTGTCTTGTCCCGATTGTGTGAGGGACGGCGTTAGATCGGTATCGAGTTCTTGTGAGGCTGCCAAGACGAAGTGCAATTCTTTGCAGATATGAACTTCTCTGTGTCTTGGCTAGACCTGTCTTCGACTCATTGTGTGAATGACAGTCGGTAGATTGGGTAGGGCTATGTTATTGCGAGGCTCCCATATTACTCACACTTGGTGTGCTCGCAATTTGTTAGCTGGAGTTCATATCGACCGATGCATTGAGAATACTTTGAGTGCGAGCTTAGGCATGTCCTTTGGTCGGATGAATCAGGTTCTCCCCCTCCATCCCCTTGAACTCAGAACCTTGGCTCCTTTTCTTTTTCGTTTGGATACGAGAATAGGTTTTGAGTCTTTTGACTCTTTGTTTTTTTTTTCTGTTTTGTTTAATTTACTGTTTTTTTCTTTTTTTTCTTTTTTTTTTCTTTTTCTGGCAGCTGAACTTCACACGTACCGGTGGCTGGTGGTGACCGTGGATTTTCTTCGCCTAGTTGGCATGAGTTTTGTCATTTTATTTATTTTTCACTTTTCGACTTGCTCCACATTTAATGCATAGTCACTGTACTAGTCAGTTCATTTTTAACGAACTATTCTGTTGAATCTGTTTCATTAACACAATCTAAATTGCGTTGCTTCGTAAAGTCTGTTCAGTGGCCTGATGATTGTGTTAATGATTGTGTTAATGATTGTGTTAATGATTGTGTTAACCATTGTCCTACTCCTTTTTTTTTTTTTTTTTGATAAGGGAGATGGCCTCGAGATTTTTGTCAAACCCGATTGGACCCTGGTAACTGAGAATTGTTGAATTTCATTCATTTACTTCATCTGGAATCGAACGCAGGTCTGTACTTCAGCACTTCATTGGGCGTACCAACGGATTTAGACTCGTTGGTGCTTCTCGTTTTTTTCTTTCTCCCTGTCAAAGCAGTTTTCAGAAGAGATGCTGACAAAGAACGTAACAAATGTTTGTGCTGTGTATTTGTGTGGCAAGCTCTCGCTTCTAATGGCAAGTAAGAAGTAAAAATAGACTCACACGAGCAGAACTTTGAGCTGAAGTCGTTGATTCTGTACGCCTTGTAAATCTTGGGTTCTCTGGTTATCTCATGCAAGTTCTGTCCAAAAGATATGCGATAGGATCAGATTCGTTGTATACTCCTCCAGATACCTGGTTGGGGACAGATGGGCCAACTACGTAAATGAACCACAAGAGGCGCTGCACCCTGTGAAATGGTTCAAGTAGGTTATGAGAGTAAGCCGGCCAAACTTGCCTCATTGCAATGGCAGATTGTGCATTGTTGTCTGCCAACAAACGCATGGCTTGCTCACCACATGCACCTTGAGTAGGCGGGCCCTTCTGTGGTGCCCGTCCTGCAAAGAGGGTTCCCTACCCAGAAATGCAATGAAACAATTGAACACCTCTTTCTTCGATGTCCGTCATCGATCC